AATTTAAATCTGTGTTCAAAACATACCATTTAATTATGTTTGCTCCTCTGGTGCAAATTAACGTTGAACAGCTGAGAGGTTAAACCTTTTGATGAGACTAAATATTATTCACATATTCTTAGAAACCAATTTATAAAGAAGTCCACATTTAATTGGAAATGGAATTTAATCAAACATACTAGATAAGTTAACACTTGTCTGGTACAATTAGCCTTTTCTGTTCTTTTTTATATAGATACCAATGTAAAATTGTACTCAGTTGTTTTTTTTCATAAGCTCGAGGAAACAAACTGTTTCTCAAACAGTATTGGGAACTAGGAAGCATGCACATAGGAGCCGTTTAAATCCCTGAAGAATGGCATTCTTATACAGCATTAACAGCTTAACACCACAACATGTGAAGAGGTTTATTAATGTGACACAAGGGGGGAAATATGAGCTTCCTTTAAGTGTAAACAATTACATAAGAATATTAGAAAGTTTAGAAATTAAAGGATCCCATGTGGCCCATTGACACTATTTGGTAGTTAATATCTCACTGATCCAAGGACCTCATACCTGAAAGAAGTCAGGGCAATGACTTCAACAAAAAGGCTGAGCTGCATGTATTTTTTATCCATTGCCCTTTGGATAAAAAAGTGCCTCCTGTTCTCAGTTTTAAATGCAGTCCTACGTATTTTCCACTTGTGTCTTCTGATTCATGTTTCACTCTTGATTCTGAAGAAATGTAAGCTACTTACTATGTATATCTTACTATGTATACCATTAGCAGAGGTGAAATGTGTCAATAGATCTTTTTTTTTTAAATTAGAACTGAAGGCTGCAGCCAATTTCCTCTTAGTATGACTTCACACTATAACATTCAAACTTCATACAACTCAATACGATGCAGACATTCTTCAAAAACAAGTGTTTTTGATCTTATTTCAAAAGACCCTTGGATTTTGTGATTTAATCACTATAATTAAGTCAAAATTACATGAGTGTGTGTGCAGAACATGGAATTTCTCTATGTTGCTTTTGAATACAGTTCGTCAAAAGTGAAAACTACAAACTATACAGACTTATTGAGGCCTTGAAAAACATTCTTTAATCACCAACATTTTGGGCAACTATCCTCGTATTATGGCAGTAAGCTTACACAATACTTGTAACTAAGGTATGTTACTAGGGTGCAATAGTAACTCCAATGGTCTTTCAGGAAATAAAAAAAACAAATTATCTGCTGCCCTCTTCTGGCAGAACCCTAGTGTTTGCTTATGATCCAGAGTACAAAATGCAATTGAGCAAGATGTCCAGCACTGAAGTGTAGAATTAAGAAAGTATTGGAAGGTTCTACTAGCTTTTTACTGCCACAGCCTATTATTTTTAAGTAAAAATAATATTTGAAATTGAAACAATAAATATATTCTACAAAATGTGTAATAGCGATATGTGTCAGCAGCTACAGTATATCACCCTGCAAGTCACAACTGGCAACCCACTGAAGCTAAGCTGGTGTGAGGATGGGAGACCATGGGAGACCTGGATGGGAGACCTTCTGGGAAAGCAAAGGTCACTGCTGGAAGAGTTGTTACTTGGACCAGTAGGGGATGTTCAACATTAAATTTGATGATCTGTGTGGGTCATAATACCCGAGTATAGTCATGGGGATATTATACTGTAAAAAAGGAGCCATCTTGTGGATAAGATGTAAAACTGAGGTCCTGACTTTCAGTGGTCATTAAAAAATCCCATGGTGTTTCTTGAAAAGAGTACTGGTGTTACCCTGGCATCCTGGTTGAATTTCCCTATAGCTTTTACCAATCAAGAATCAAGACCTCCTAATAATCTGCATTTATGATTTGGTTTTATTATTCAGTTCTCCTCCCCACTGATTGCTGATGTGTGGTGAACTGGCAGACTTTGGCTGCCATTGCATCATCCAGGTGGGGCTAAACATTGGTGGAGGGGAGTCCCCACTACCTGTAAAGCGCTTTGAGTGGAGTGTCCAGAAACGTATTATGTAAGTGTAAGGAATTATTATAAATTAGTTTTAGCTCAGCCCATATACAGTACATTACAGATCTCTACAGAAGAATAACATACTATACCTACTTCTCATAACTTCTCTTACAATTTTTTCATGTTCTCCAAGAAAAGATTATTATTAATTATTAATTATTAATTATTAGCAAACTGAAATCTTAAGAAGGAAGTAAATGTTGTTTTACAGTGTACACAGAATTGAGTAATTCCTGGCAGTTTTTCAATAATACGCAATTGTAAGCAATTTTTAAACTGCACCACATCTGACTTACAGCTTATGGGACATTCCTTGCTTTCAGTAGATGTATATGGTAAAACACATTTTTCCCTTTGATTAAATGTAGGAACAGATGCTCCTCTCACAAATGGATTTTCCTTTAAATTTTTTCCTGCACTGTATCTGTCAAGAAAAAATGAGAAATCACTGGAAACAGACTATCGGGCAATTACCTGCAGAAGGATCAATTTGTGCAATGACACATGATGTTTACACCACACTGGCATATTCCCACGATGGATGCTGCTTTCAGTTGTAAGTTAACCATATCGAAACCCTGGCAATTCTTAGACACAGTGCATTACAAAGATAAGCCTACTTCTCCACCAGTCACCTTCTTAAGTGGTGCATGTCAGCTTATCCATATCAAATCCTTCCAAGGGTCTATTCATGTTAAAGCCATGTGAAAGTGGGAAGTCCGCCAGAAGAGAATGACAGAGTTTTACGCGGGATCTGCATTATCTTTCTTGAAGGCCATTGAAGTATTTGAAAGCCCACATTGTACACTCATTAAGTCATACGTTTTTGCAGATTTTTCATGAATTCACAAATGTCTCTACTCTGGTCCTTGTCCTCCTGTGCAAACCTCCTGTACATTTTGTATAGAAGTGGATTAAGAGGATGTGTCTGCCATGTAATCCTATGTTTCATCACCCATGCAGAAGTCTGTTTGTACAGGTTCCTCTCTACATCTTCCTGCCCAGGAAAGACACCCT